AATGTCAGAATGTGACTGTGGACCAGAGCGTCAGGAGAAGAGGCTTTGGGAGAACAGTTGCACAGGTTGGAGGCCAGAGCAAGAAATAAGGTTGCTTATTCCTCTACCCCTACTTTTAACTAGCATTTAACCCTTGCACTGCAGCTCATTTTTTTTAATTCCCAGAGTTCATCTTTAACTGCTTCTCTTATGCACTTTGAAGATCGATGCAGCTACAGATGTTAGTGAGGGCTTTTTGTGACACTTATTTATTGCTTATTTAATATGTAAATAGTTAAATGCCCATAGGCTGACCAAAGTAGCACTTTAAGCTATGTACATTCAAGTTGTGTTTGGGGGGAAAAAAGACATTGGAAAATATACTGGGAGGATCTAATAAATGTAAAAAAACCTGAAAGTTTTACCAACTCCCAGTCCAAACTTATAACTTCTACTCTGACAGCAGCCAAGCAAACTTTAGCCAAGGCGTGGAAGTCAGCTATACCCGCAGTGGCACTGGTCAAGCATATGATGTCCAGGCATCTAGTTAATGAAAAGCTTTCAGCTCTTCTACCTAACTCTTTGCATAAATTCTATAAAATTTGGACACCATGATTGACACACTATATGCCTATAATACGATTTAGAGTCCCCTGACTCTGGTTGAGTACATGGTTTACCTCGGCGGGCACCTGTACCTTGCCCAGCCCCCGACCCCCCCCCCCCCTTTTTGTGTAAGGTACTCAAATAAAGCAGTTTTACTCACCTGATCTTTGGTACTGCGCTTGTTGGCACTCACCTCTCTACCCCTCCGCTCCGGCTGTGAAATGTCCTTTGCGGTCCTCACATCTAATGCAGGTCATTGGACCTGCATAAGATGTGATAACATCAGTGGTCCTAAGACCGCCGGAGCCCAGGGGTGAAGAGGCTGCGGGGAAAGGTTTAGCAGTATGGAGGGAGCCACTGCGACCAAGAATCAAGTGAGTAAAACAGCTTTATCTGAGTCCCCTACACAAAACAAGCACTTAACCCATACATCGCGCGGGTAGCCCCACTTCAAGGGTAAGTTATTGATTTTCCTGGAGTTCTTTACTGGCGGTGTCACCTGAGATTGAGCCTTAGTGGAGTCGGGCAGTGTGATCTTGTGTATGGTTACATTTCAAAAAGACTTTGGGATAAATACAGGGATTTCTTTCACTCAATCACATTGCTTTTTCCAGCTGCAGGGGATTTATTTCTATAGCACCATCAATTTACACTGCACTTTACATACTATTCATTCACATCAGTCCTCGCCCTCAAGGAGCTTACATGCTAAGGTCCCTATTTCATATTCATTGTTTTTGGAGTGTGGGAGAAAACCAGAGTATTTACACAAGCACAGGAAGAAAATGCAAACTTCATGCAGATAGTGTCCTGACCGGGATAAAAACCAGAGACTGCCAGTGCTGCAAGGCAGAATTGCTAACCAGTAAGCTATTATGTTTTTTTACACAATTTCAATGTGTTGGGCAGTGCTGTACCTCAAATAAAAAAAGGTATAAACTACAAATTCCACTACAAAATGTAAAAGATACAAAGTACAAAAATATAGTACAGAACAGCAGCCTTTCTCAACCAGGGTGCCTTGGCACCCTGGTGTGCCTTCGGGCTTCCACAGGGGTGCCTCAGAAGTTTGTGGCAGTGGGACTGTGATATGAAGGAGGAATGAAGACTGAGGTGAAGGGGGCTCCTGGTGTAAAGGGGGTACTCTGATATGAAAGAAGGGTTTCTGATTATTTATTATTAGTATTTATGTAGCACTGACAATTTTACATTCATATGTAAAGC